GGGTTGTTCTCAAAAATGTGGGCCCCTTTTGGTCATAGATGATATTACGGCACCTAATATTTGGGGGTACCCAAGTGGGAGCGTAATTTTTGGGCATATCCAACAAGAGGATTCCTTTTTGGGGTGTCTATATGACAATGAATTATACTCCAAACTCCCTACAGCCGGTTCGATTGGGATTATATAGGGGATTCTTACAGGGGGTAGTAAGGGCGATAAGAGTTTAGACTATGGCTCGTAGAATCAGCTCTCTACTATCTCGGTTCATGAGCAGTATTCCTGCTTCTTGGAATATATCATTTGGAACAGTACTATCCTTTCCAGCTGACAGGCAGTTAGCATGCGGATGCCTGATTTGGGCACCTGGTCAACAAGACCTGAAACGTTGAGGGATCGTGCCTGTGGACCTTGCCAACTGGTGAGAAAAGCTTAGGCCTGAACGCATCCGTCCAAGTACCCACTAGTCATATACTTCACCCGAAACCTGTACTACGTTCAACGTTGCAACGCTCCCCACTACCCAAGTATTGTGTAATTGAAGCCTAGTAATAGCAGTAGTTGCAGTAATTGTAAGAATTCTAGTGAGAGCAAGACATACCAATGCAAACAATAGTAATCGCAAAAGCAGTAGTAACAATTAGTAATAATGGCGATTTCGACCAATAGTAACGGTACATAGTAATAGTAGCAATACCAATGGTAATATTCTCCAACCCTTGCCATTAGTCCACCCCCGCTTGAGCCCTGAACCGAGGTTGCGGCGTGGAGTGGGACCCTCAGTGCCATGTTTCTTGTGTGGCCCACCATGATTATGAGCATCACTACTGCGATTGCAACACTACCACTAGTATTCTTGCTAGTATGCACTAGACCCCCTGAAGCGGGTTGTTGAGACCTCTGGGTGTAGGGCTTGGGCGTTTGAAGCATCAGGCGGAGTCCGGGTGCTGGCATGTTATTTGCATGTAGAAAGTGCAGATGCTTATTGCGGCGGATCTTCAGCACTCCCGCAGAAGGCAGACCACTGGGCGGGCCCTTCAAAACCCTACGCCCTAAACGGCTCAAGCCGTGTCGGTCTGGCAGCAAGTGCTCACATCACACAAAGACAAGATAGACAGCATCGTTCGATGCGAGGGATTCGAAGGAAATTCCTTACAGGCTGAAGGTGAAGAATTGTCGGTTGAGTCTCCAGTTCTAGCCTACACTCGACCGACCTCACCACTGCAAAAAAGAAGGGTACAACAGGGCAACAGACTCGTGCAAGGGCCAGGGTTGAAAGCATGGCTGTAGTGCGGCTCATAGCTGGCTGCGCTGCTTCAGCGTCGCATGGACACACTCCTGGAGCAAGGCTCACTGGGCTCCCGCAGCAGCGGCGTTGGGCCGATCTTTACTGCAGCTCCCGTCGGTCTGGAACAGCAGAGCTTGAAGAGCGGCCAACGGCGACTGTTGCATCTTTCTGCGGCTTCTGGCAGCGTTCTGGCAGCTTTTCACGGAGGCGAGGTTGCGCGATGGTATCCCGATGAAGACGAATTTGCCCTCATTGATTTCGGACGAGAACGGATAGGTGATGTGAGCCGCTTGTTATTGGACCCGACTGGATTCCACGCTCTGCTGACAAACAGCGGCGGTGAAACCTGGTACCTCAATTTTCAGAGCAACCAGGCTAAAGCAATGCCAAAGCTGAAGGGGAATGTCTTTGAGGCGGCAGCATGGGATCCAGAAGCAACGACGACAAGTACCAGAGATCTCCTCCTAGGCACACGTACTGCTCAGATCCTGCATGTCGTAATCGAGGGCAAGGAGAGGACTGTCAAGACAGTGTTCGAGTTTGATCAACCTGCACCAGTCGTGGGCCTTCACTCTGAGCACGTCTTCTCTTCAGATGGGCTTGAGCGCCTCGTGCTTTTTGCAGTATGCGGATGTCGTCTGTATGCCTTCGTCGGTGCTTCATTGGAGAGCCTGTTTCAGCGCCAAGGTGACAGCTGCAGAGCTGTGTATGAGGTCCCTCGTGATTCTCCCTATGGAGATCTTCAAGTGGACGATGCCTGCGTTGGTCCTCCTGGCACTAAAGTGCTTTTTTGGATGACAGGTGTGGGAGTCCTTGCCGCCAAAATCCAGCCAACTATTGATGAGGAAGCAGCTGTTGGTTCAGTTTTGGAAGCTCCACCGGGGCTGATTGCATTTCCGTCTTTGAAGTCTCTTCCTCGCGCTGATGCAGGAAGTTTGGTGACCTCGTTGCTCCCAGCCTTGCCAGCGCCCCCACGATCAATGGCTTAACCAAAGTATCATGTCCTGTTTGCCTTCGAAGATCGATGGGTTGCTGTCAGCCGGATCACTCACAAAGTAGTTCAGCAGCAAGACTGGGCCATTTCGACATATGGGCCACTTCGAAGTCTGGCGAGGGACCAGCATGGTGAGAGACTGTGGATCTGCTCAGAGCGGCATGCCTTTGAACTACTTACTGAGAAGGAAGACAGAGATGTTTGGGCCTTGCTTTTGAGACTGGAGCAGTTCGATGATGCGCTGGCCGCGTGCAAGAAGCAGTCCGACCGTATGCGTGTGCTTGCGGCGCAGGCGGACTCGCTCTTCAGGGAAGGAGCTGGCATCGAGTCTGCGAGGAAATTCGCCCAAGCTACCGCTGTACCGTTTGAACATGTTGCCTTGCGGTTTCTCGCCGGGGACATGAAGGCAGCACTTGTGGAGTATTTGCGCTGTCGGCTCAGCAGAGCCAATGACCAGGTGACACGAGCTTTGCTCTACTCCTGGGCTGTCGAGATCTCACTTGCAGCCCTTAACCGTTCACGCTTTGCAAATACGTTGGGTTCCCGTGGCCACGAAGATCGGCAAATATTATTGGACCTTCTTAAAGAGAGCCGGGATCTGGACGTTCATGCCACCATCTACCACTTGCTGCAGAGCCACGGCTGGTTGGATGAATTGGCTCAGTTTGCAGAGATGCGACGGGATTTCACGACTGTAATCTTGCACCACGTAAGCCGGCGGGATTGCCACAACGCCGTCCAGAAGCTCGCTGAATTCAAGGGCGCTAGTGTACAAGAACTGGTTGGCCGTTTTGCTCCAGTCCTTTTTGGTGCTGTTCCCAAAGAGTTCATCTCGCTCCTCCTGCAGATGTCGAAGATGGACCCGCTGGTAGTCTTGCCAGCAATATTCTCGCCACACGCATCGCCTACTCACAGGGCAGAGGCCATGCGCTATTTGGAGCACGCAGCCCGCCAGACAGCAGAATCCCCCGGCCAAGCTGACATGCGAAGTTCCTTCCGTGCAGGAAGTTTGCTTCAGAATTTGGCCAGCTGCGTGGACGACGATGCTACTTTGATCACTTCACAACGTTTTGGCTGGGCTACAAACACTGCCATACTCAACACGTTCATTCTTTGTTTAGCTGAGCCTCTGGAAGAAGCGCTTCCCCCCGAAGGTGCGGAGTCTGTCGTTCTCGATGCAGAAGGGGCACTCTTACGGTTTCTTGCAGCAGAGGAGTCCAATCCGTTTCTGGATCCCCATTTTGCTCTTCGGGTTTGTCGGCAACAAGGCTTGGTAAAAGCGCAGGTGCTCCTGTATGGAGTCATGGGCATGCATGAGGAGGCGGTTGATGTGGCATTGCAGCATGAAGATGTTACGTTGGCAAAGCGGAGCGCCTGCAAGCCTCATCTGTCACAGAAGAGACTACGCCAAAAATTGTGGCTGCGCATCGTGGAACATCAGGCCACAACCTGCGACGTGCCCAAAATCATCGGATTGATCCGAGAGTCGAAAGAGCTTACAATCCGGGATGTGCTGCCGTATCTGTCGGACTCGATGACAATAGACGCCTTCAAGACTGAAATTTGTGACTGCCTAGACTCCTACGAAGGCCAGATCGTGACGTTGCGACAGGAGATGGATGATCACCGACGGGCACTACAGGCCTTCAAAGAGGATCTTAAGCAAGCAGAGGAGCGGTGCATCTTCGTAGCTCGAGATCAAGCCTGTGAGCTGTGTGGTGCAGACGTGGTCCACGAGCGTTTCTATGCATTTGCCTGCAGTCACTGCTGCCACGAAGCCTGCATCCGCGCGCTGATCCTCCCTGCACTCTCCGTTGAGAAGCGTGAAGAAGTGCTGAAGCTCGAGGCAGCTCGTCTACAGCATCAGGCAACGGCGGCTGGCGCACAGCCTGCTACACAAATGCCAACGCCGCTCGCAGAGGTGGAAGACAAGCTTGACGGAATTCTTGCTGAAGATTGTCCACTGTGTGGCCAGGTGATGATCGACACAATAGTGAAACCTTTCATTGATTCCGCGGAGGTGGATGAGATAGAGTCCTGGGCTGTAGGAGCAAATGCTCCACTGTAAAGAAAATCACAGTACTGGTTCTGGACCGGACTTTCTTTCCCGTGCCTGCACTGCTGTGCGATGCGCGTGTCTAAACCCTAAAGCAGGAGGTACCCCGCTACAGCCCGCTCATATGTTCATGGAGAGTAAAGTTTTGGTAGCGAAGAAGGAACACTTCAAGCTTTGTAGGGTTAAGGGTTTAGGGCTAAATTGAAAGTAGGTATGGGTAGTTAGGGTAATGCAAGAAAGCCAGACTGCTCATCAAAGCCTTGTGGGGAAGCATCTGCTACAACTGTCACCCTTAATTATGTAGGTATGTCAAACAAAGAAAGACATGCAGGGTCCTGCTAGCCCTGGCGACTCACGTCCCACTCAACCCTAAAGCCTGAACCCTAAAATCTAAATCTTGAGCATTAAGCCCAAAAATCAAGCCTAGATAAAGGCTTTTGCGCAGTGCAGCCGCTTCGGCAGTGGAGATAAACTTTGCGACATGCAATGCACCTGGGCTGCTCTATGTTTACATTGCAGATGTTTGTTTCTGTACGGTTCAGGGTTTAGAGTGCAGGGATGTAGTACCTGGAATCCAAAGTAGGTTAAACAATTGTCCGAAATCCTTAAAGACAGCCCCAAAGGACGTTTTGCATGTATTTAGGGGGCCCAGGTAGGTTTAATGTAGGGATGATGGACCCTACGTCCTCTAAACATCTAACGGCGCTTGGTTTTTGGGGTGGTTTAGGAATCAGAGCCTGTGCTATCCTACTTACGGTGAGACTTTGCTGGGTGTGGAGCCCGGATTAAGGACACTTCCATATTCTGAAATGCCCCCCGCATGAGTTGTTGCCTACCCAACACCCTAAACCTTGCGAGAGTACCCACAGGGGGCCGTGAGGGTCCCCTAGAGCCCGCAGAAGAAGACGAAAGAGAGATAGGAAAATTCCCCTCATGTCGAATTGCAGAAAGGGAGACAAACATCTTACAAGCCCCGAGCAAAAGCCCCAAACCCAAAGTTCAAACTCATAAAGCCATTTGAGCCATAGTCTAAACTCCTTAAGGGGGGTTCTATAGGGGATTATATAGTGGAGCTACTATAGGGGTTATTAAGGGGGATACCAGGAGTTTAGACTATCGCTCATTGACCCTAAACCCTAAACCTTAAATCTAATTTTGGAGTCTTCCGGCGTTCAGGCCCTGATTGGTGCGTGTCAGCCCAGTGAAGATGAGGGCGTGGAGGTTCGGCCAGGTCTTGGGGTCCAGGCATATGAGCTATAGTCTAAACTCCCTAAAGGGGTGTTATATAGGGCATTATATAAGGTACTATTATAATGGTTTACGAGGAGTTTAGACACTGGCTCATATGGGGGTTTCCCAAAATATAGGGTTTAATATAGGGTTATATAGGGTTTATATAAGATTATACAGGGTTTATAGGGTCATATAGGGTTATATAGGGTTGTATAGGGTTTAGGTTTTCCCAAAATTAGGGGTACTTTTTTGGGGATCCCCATAATAAGGACTATAGCATATTAGGGTCTATATTGGAGTCCCCTTATTTTGGGATAGCATATCACGAAACACCAGTGTTATTCATATGAGCTACAGTGAAAACCATTTACGGAGTTTAGACTATGGCTCATATTCGAAACAAGTGTAAGAGATTGTTCATAGGATACTACTTGGTGATACCATGGGAGGGTGTCAAAATTATGTCCCATGCTTTGGGTTCCATGCGTGTCTACGGCCTCTCGAATACTTCGGACACCCTCAAAGTTGTGGGTCCCTTTTTTGGGGGGCCTTTTGCGATTTCATGTTAATCCGCTTCTCTAATCGTACTCCCCGAAAACAACAGATATTCTCACTCAAATAGAACAATGTTATCATATTTGGGATATTTGTTGAGAGAATACGGCCTCAGGGACAGGGAGGGGTGTACATGAGGGTTTACCGAAATTAGGGTTGGGGATCCCCATAATAAGAATTATGGTGTTGGAGCTTACATTGGGTCCCTTTATTGCGGGAAACTATCCTATGGACTATAGTCTAAACTACTAGCATCCCCCTTAATGAGCCCTATAGCAGTCCACTACATACTCCCTATATAACTCCCCTGTAAGGAGCTTTGGCCCGAACTCCTAAACCCTACATCCTACACCCTGAACGTCAAATCCTGTACCCTAAACCCTAAGCCCTAAACCTTAAACCCTAAATCCTATACCCTAAACCCTCAATCCTAAGACCGATATAATCCCCTATTTTTGGAAACTATCATCCATAAGGGTCCAAGTACCCAATAACCATATACTTACCCAAAACCTGTTCTAGAATTACTATTACCAAAATCCCAAGTACCTAATTATTGGGTACTTGGACCCTAAAACCTAAACCCTAAATCTGAACCCTAAACCCTAAATCCTACATATTCTAAATCCCTATATATCCCTGTAGGTCCCTTTAAAGGGGGCCTAACTTTTCGGTACTTATGACCCTGGAACCCCAATCGCGCCTCCGGAGGTCGGCGGCCTCTGGAGCCCAGGCCTCTCCATGCTTGCCCGGGGGCTCGGCTTCTTGCGCTGGGTGGCTAAGGGTTAAGGGTTTAAGGTTAAGGGTTGAGGGTTTTAGGGTTGTAGGGGTTTTGGGGTTTTGGGTTTAGGGTTTAAGGGTTTAGGGTTTAAGGTTAAGGCTTTAGGGTTTAGGGTGGCTACATGTGGGGCTTTAGGGTTTGGGTTGGGGTCCCCCTTGAAGGCATCACATAGTGGTGGCCTATAAATAAACTGAGCAAATTATGACAACCGCACCCAAACTCACCCCAAACGGGTTTAGGGGATTGGGGTTTAAGGGTGCAGGGTTTAGGGTTTCGGGGATTAGGGTTTAAGGCCCAAGATGGCCTTCTTGCAAGTCTTGAATTTTAACAGCATAAATATGAAGCGTACGTCAGCTGGCCCCACATGGGTGCCTTGTTTGGTGTCATACCTGAGTCAGATGAAGAAGGATTTCAAGTGTAGGATGCTTTGTCAAATGCGCCGGCCTCAATCCGTGACTCAAGAAAAAGGGTTTTGGGTTTAGGGTTCAGATGCATGGAAACCCATATGAGCTTTAGTCTAAACTCCTTAAAGGGGGTTGACAAGGGAATTATATGGGGGAATGATTATAGGGGTTATTAAGGGGGATACTTGGAATTTAGACTGTAGCTCATATAGAGTCAGCATAATACGGGTCCTTATGTTGGGGTGCCTGTCACAAAACTGGTCCCTATATACTTTTCTCTGTTTCGGGATTGTTTCTTGCCAGGGTTTAGGGTTTGGGGCTACAGTTCGCGTTTAGAGGACCAGTAGCCCAACTCTAGTCCACTTGAGTAGGTTCTAAGTTGTGCAGTTTCACGGTTACACTCCCCCAAACCAACATAGAATCCCAAACAGGGTCCCTACAAAGTCTGCTGTAGTTTGCAAAGCGAAGCGGACCATTTCAGCTTCCACGATTGTTGTGGGGAGGGCTTTAAGAAGCTTACAAGTGAAAGAATGCCCCTCCCAGTACGCACAGAGCCCAATGTAGCCTAGTTAAGGAATACAATTGCTTGATACCAATGTCCCTGATATGGCTCGAGAAAAATTACGTGAAACAACATTTCTGGAAGACCCATATCTCCTTATCTATCCCCATTTGCCTTGATGTATCCCTGTAAACACTCATGTAATTCTAGATGAACCCTATATACATTAACCCTGTTAGCCCCTTGAGAACCTTGTATAGACAACATCAACACCCTTGTACAACCCTACATGAACCCTATCAATACCCCTGTGCAACCCTATAGGGGTGGTTGTCAAAATTATGTCCTTTTCGGATCCCTATCATAACACCGCCCCTAATATTTAGGGTACCCAAAAAGGGACCATAACTTTGACAGCCAGCCATATAAAGCGTACATTATATGACCCTATGTGACCCTTTATGCTTCAGGATGAAATGGCCAAGCGGTCCATCGAGATGACTCACGTGAGCTGTTCTGTCACTCAGATTTGCCGTACCGACTGCCGACTGTAGGGTTTAGGGTGTGTGCCCTAAACCTTAAACCCCGAAACCCTAAGCCCCCCAAACCTAAACCTTTGAAATCCTTAAGCGCGTGGGGCCCCTTCAATTTGAAGGGCTTAGAGGGGTGTTCAGGTTCTTCGGGATCGACACCTGGGCCACCAGGAAGATTTTCCGCATGTAACAGCTATAGCAGCCTACCCCCCTCGGCATCACATGAGAGCCCTAAACCCTAAACCTTCAAAAGTAGTTTCCAATTTGTCCTCCATTCTCCCAATATATAGCCCCAATACAACCCTAATAGTAACCCCAAACCGGACAGTTTAGGCTTTTTCCCTTTCAGTCTGGTGCAGAAGTTGAGACTACAGTACACCGCAGTCGGGAATTTCAGGGGGACAACACAAATCTGGTTCTGGAAATTGTAAGCTTTACCATTACCATGCCCTTCCATTAGCAACATAAGTAACTTGGAGTGCAGCTTAGATGTACTAATCTAGCCCGTATTGTTTTGTACAGAATGACGGAATGATCTGTTCTTAAAGAACTTAAAGGGTTAGGCCTTCTTGTGTACCCAAAGCGATACGACGCCTTGTATTGTGGGCGCAAAGTGGCGCTTTGCATTCCGAAGCGCTAGCCACATAGTGTAGCAACAAATTTAGTTCGTTGGCATCCTCCATGAATTGGGGGACCCCAACAAAGACCCCCTGAACTACGAGAGTCCTCCGTATAGGGACCTCATCAGGGTACCCCTGATTTCGGCAAACCCCCATCTCTACTACAGGCCCCACCAACTTGGGTGGCTTTGAGGCCTCAATGATACAACTAGGTGGCCCTTGTGAACTAAGAAATCCACCGTTGTGGTATCAGGGAAACTACTCCTACATAATTTTGTGGGCCTTTACAGTACCACCCAGACAGGGCTTAGAGTAGTTTCCCAAATATGGAGAATCAAATGGAAAAGAAAATGGAGAATTAAATGGAAACTGAGGTTAGAGAGG